ATTTTTCCAGATTCTGAAACCAAAAACATCTAATGGCTGTATAAAAGCAGTTGTTTTTTTTTTGTATTGTTAGAATATTTATATGTTTGTCTTTTGTACAAGTTCTTCCAATTGGTTCGGGCAATGTCCTGTCCATGAATCAAGCAGTAGTATACTTTCTCTCCAGTGTTTGGTAGATACACTTCTTGGAACCAATTTTTTAAATGTTCAGTTGTCAATTTCCCTGATTTTGAAGCCGCAATGTAAATATTCACTGGTCTAAAAAGAGTTTGTTCTACTTGTGGTCCAAAAACACCAGTAGATTCTTTTAATACTATATACAAAGGCGAAAGGAGATGTCCATCTGCAGATATAATAGGCATAATGGTGTAGCTATGAGTCATAGCAGATAAAGATTGGATAGTAGCTCCAACTGTCTTCACTCCTACATTAGCTAATGTTCTTCCTGCATGTATTTTTAAATTAAAGCCACTTTCGTCCGCATTATAAGTTGATTCAGCACCGATTACATTAATATGTGGCTTTACTGTATTTACAAATTCCTCAGCGTTTTGACGTATAGTTAGATCAGTTAAATGAGAAGACCGTGTTTTAAATGCAGTTATTTTACGTGATGTAATACGATGTGCCTTTTTAAAATTCCATATCCACCAATTTCCTGCTTTAAATGAAGAAAAATCCACTTGTTCCTTTGCTTCTAGTGCCCATTTTCGCAGATTTATATCATGAATAATAAGTCCTCTATTAACAGCTTCTTGGAATTTTATAAGAACATATTCAGCAATAACTACAAGTTTGTCTGTATTTGAACCCCCACGCATTACATGTTCTTGCCATCTGTGCAATTGTTGAATAGATTTTACCTAGAAGAAAACAAATCTCAATATTAAACAATTCGAATTCAAAAATAAAAGAAGTTATATACGAATTAAATGTTCACGAAACATCAAATTGTAAAACTTAAATAAAAAACAACGCGACTCTAACTATATAATTTACAGCTTTGGTCATAAGTATGAAGCATCTCTAACTCATTGTATTTTCCTAGAAATCAATGCATATACTCATAGTAAATATATAATCTCTTTACAATAAATATTATATTAATATTTTATAATATAATGTGTATATTATATTTATGTATATTATATTTATATTATAATTTATATTATATTAATATTATATTATATTACAATAAATATTGTAAAATAAATATTATTTTCCACATATTCTTATATTATATTTTTTTATTATATTATTTTTCCATATACTCGTATACTATATTATGTTCTCCATATATTCATATAGTATGTTTTTGTTACACAATTTAAATAAATTTTTTGGGATGCTTTATACTTATAGTCAAATAGTCAAAGCTGTATGTACAATGACCGACAATGATGCGTTCCGCGAGAGGGGAAATAGAGTTCTCTCTGTCGCGGAACGAATCACTGCCGGTCACTGTACACCGTAAAAGCCTCAAGTATTTTACTATATATTATTCTTCTTATTTTTTAATTAAACTTTACTTTTCTAAAACGATGTTGTACAGAAGTAAGAGATAAATGTCCTTTCTTTCCACTCTTCCAAAATTCGATTGCCTTTTTCTTATAATTTAAGTTTACATTTCCACCTTCATCATCCACAGTGCAAACTTCATTTCCATAATTATCTTCTTCAGCATCAATATCGTACACATCTACAAATTGTACGTCATGCGGTTCTGATGGATCGTCAAAATCAAGTCCCCACTCATGTTCGATCGTAATATCGTGATGTATAGCACTCTTTATTAAATCAGTAATTGTATCATGGAGTTCCACCTCTTGATGATTAACAGGAGTTATTGCAATATTTGTGAAATGAAATGTCGCAATTAACAAATTAATAACATTAGCTGGATTTATTACTGACATTATGATACAAATCTTAAGGATATTTTAATTAAACATTTCTCACAGCAATAATAATATACGTACTGCTTCAATAACTGCTTCAATAACACTGAAATGTATTCCAAAATGGACAGCTTTTATATGCAAATGAATGAAGATAACATATGTCAATATAATGAACCTTGATTGCACTGTACTTGATAAAGAGTGCTATTTTGGTCGCACAGTCATAAAACTTGTGACAAGTGTTTTGCATGTTGCCATGATGTACACACACGTGCGCACGTACAAAAACACACATATACACACACACATATTTATTTATATTTACGCGTGTCGTTTAAATTAATGAAAAAGGTAGCCGCAATGTTGGCAAAATAAACGTCTATTACGTGAAATTTTATAATTTATAACATTTTTAAATATTAGTGACTGTATCCTTATCATGCTATTTTTCTCCTACTTACTTCTTAACATCAACTTTATTGCTTTTTTAGATTTTCTATTTTCTTCCTTCCTTATCTTTTACAGTTTGCAATTATGAGGAAGATTTGAGGAAGAAAGAAATGCCATCGTCAAGTAGCGAATCCTTAAGTTTGGTACGCGTAGCATACATATAAGAGCATGTTTAATTTTTTTTTCAATATTGCCTTTTCCAAACATAATGTTATTATATATGGTTGAATTTGTCATAAAATAAGCTTTATTTTGGTTGGACAATTGATTTTAACAATTTGAAAAAAGAGAAGGAGGGGGGTATTTTATACACAATTTTACATTTTTAAAAAATCTAAATATAGCATAATAAAGTACTTTTAAAACCATAAAACTTTTGTCTAAAACATTTTTTCATATCTTTAATAGTTTCGATAATATTCGCTTAGAAAGACAAAAATCAACTTTGTTCAAGGGGTTGTTTCCACCCTTAAAACTGTTTTTGGGCACCAACGAAAAATTGTTTTGTTATTAGGTATATCTGCTCTACAATTATGCAGAGTTTCAGATTTTTTTGAATTTCCGCGTTGCCGAATGTCCCTTGTCAGTACCAATTGAATGATCGTCAGAATCCAGACGCTCGAGAGCGCAATCACTGCGTATCCTCTTTCCGAAGCGCAGAGACGAAGGTCGGGCGAGCTGATAGCTCGTTGGACGCGACGATGACGATCGACCGATTCGTCGCCCATAGTGGCGTCCAATGCCTCGTGCTCGTCGGTAGCGCCGCCGCTGGCCGCCGCATCGATAGCGCGAAATCGCAATCTTGTGGTCTCGGCGATAATCTCGTCGACGGTGGCTGGTGAATCGTCATTGTCCACACCGCCGCTGCTGCCGTCGCGGGTTTGCTCGTAGCCGTGGTTGCGGTAGCGGCGGTGACTTCGATGTTCGGTAGAACCAAGTCGCCATTTCGATGATCCTTCGGATTGAACGGCATCATTCTTATAGAGCTTCCGGAGATCCGTACCGTCATCAGATCGATCGCGCCGACTGGACTCTCGGCATCGTGGGTCGGACGGCGATACGTCGCTCGGTTGCTCCTCGCTGCCGATCATCTTCTTCTTGTCATTGGCCAGGCGGTCAGGGTCAGCGATAGCAGTATCACGCCCATCGCTATATAGAAGCAACCGTCGCTGAATGCGACAGTAACCGCAGCACGANATGAGATGTCGTTCGAATTCGACAGCATAATGTCCATAACGTGGGTTCGCGCTCAAACAGCTCGAAGAACGGGAAGCACGCGGTCATGCGATCGTCCACCGGTTCGGCTCGGAGTGCAGCAGCACGGTTTGACCCAGAGCACCGCTTTACCCTCCTCGTTGAGCACGTAATACGAAGCGTTCTGATACGTTAGATTGAATATGGCGTGCAGGTGATACCTGACAGAATCCGTTTATCACATTGATCGATTCGTGACAATATTTCAACAGTGCGAACAAACAGCAGCTCATGCCGGGTTTCGCGTTCTTTTTGCACGCGTCCACGTTCGACCACACACGATCGGTAGAATAGCGACTCAACCAGACGGGCGCTACGAATTCGTCGGCTCGAGCCAATCCGTCCTGCAACGATCCGCTCGGCGCGGCAGGATCTGACGTGGTGCTCGAAAGCAGCTTCACATCGTCCATCGCCTCGAACGTGTCATGTGTGGGACGACTCTCGTCGAAACGCACTTGCAAACGCTCGCGCTGTCGTTCGCGCTCGGTCATTGTCCCGTGTACTTTTTTTTGTCACCGCGAGAAAGAACGCTCAATGGCACGACTCGTCGCAGGAAAAGCCTCTTACTAATCGTCACAATAGGGGGTGGCGACCATCAACGGGAGTGTCGTTTCGCTCTACGATCGATTGCTCTCTGAGTGATGTTGATCTCTGGCACCACTGCCGCTACCGCTCGATCCGCCCGTTCCGCCGTTTGTCGCCGCGTCGCCTCGTCCGGATCGCAATTTGTTGACTACGAGGAAAACGAAAGAGGAAAAAGATACAATGAGGAGAAAATTTAACGAATTTTTCGATCGAGACAATCAGTAGGAGTACGGTGCGGTAGCGGCGGCCGCGTTATCACCGCCACCGGCGTTTCCACCGGGAGGTGGCGAATTGTTGCCGCGATTTCCATTGTTCGAGCCACCGCCCGTTCCGCCGCCACTGCTGGAACTACCGAAACTCCTGTTCTGACCACTGCTACTGCCGTTACCGCTGTTACCGCCGCCGTTGTTGTTACTGCTCATCCAGAACGCTATGATGACAATCAGTACCACCACGATCACAAACACGATCGCCATATTCTTCCACTCGTGAGACGGCATCGTGACGCGAGATTGTTTCTCTGATAACGCGCAACGCCGAGCTGGGAGACCTAAAAGAAACACCACTGTGTCACGCGCTATAGACCCCCACTCACTACGCAGCACCTTATACTGTTGGGCGTGAGGTAGGTATTCGAGATGCGATCGACTTTGGCGCATTATAAAATCGGGCGCTGGACACGGAGCTTGGGCATTCGCAGTTTGCGAGCATTAACCGACGATTCTTCCGCGTCGACCGGTGTCACGTCAAACGTAAACGCTCGAATCTGACGATATAAGCATCGAGACCGATTGGGCAACCGACGCAACAATGGGCTATATACGAATCGACGATACAACAAGCGAGTTGCTGTCAGTTGCGAGAAAGCAGCGCGCCTCGTACGACAAACTACGCCAGCACGGTCGCGCGACGAACAATACCACCGATCTGAATGCGGTAACGGCGAGAAGCACGTCCGAACAGCGCGTCGCGCGAAAGCGACGAGTCCGCGATGGTGAAAATAATCGCGGATCGGCCAACAACGAGCGACGAAAACGAGAACGATGCAACGATGAATCCTCGGCGCGACACGTTTCGTCGTTCATCGACAACGAGGCATCTGAGCACGAAGAGGAGGAGGAAGACAACGAGACATCGCACACGGATGAGAGTAGCTGCGAGGACGAGACAGACGCTCGTCGTTGCGACGGCGACGACGATGGGAACATGCGTTTGCGCGACAATTGCAAATCGTTCTCACCAAATGCGACCACGTCGACCACGCCGACCATGTAAGATATGAACTCGCTGTGGAATCAAGTGGCCAATATGCAACCGAGCGCCAACGATGTCACCGAACTGAACGATCTGTATCTGCGAGGTAAGCCGGAGACGTCAGACGACATGCTCGTTCCGTATAAGCTCTGTTGTCGCGTCTTGATTCCGCAAAATGCGTCGAACTCGGCCGGGGATCGGATGAGAAGGCGAAACTGCGCGCCGCCGTCGACGAGAGGCTCTGGTGCATGTGGCGATTGTGCCGCTTGGCGAAGAAGCGAGCAGTGGATTTGAACGTTTCGTCCAACGCGCTCAAAGAGCTGACGGCCCGATACGACGAGCATTCGCATCACACTGCTGCCACCGACGCACCGATCGTGACGAAGGTGCGAACGAGCGACGAGACGAACGATGCCGCCGCTACGGATGATGCGATCGTGGAGCGAGCACGTCAATTACGCGACTATGACGCTTCGTGCTGCGAGGAGGAGGCCGGTAAAGCCGACGCGCATTTGATGTATCTGATCGGCAACTTGGATCGCGGTTCGCGGATTTCTTATTCGCATGGCGCGAACGGTAAACTGTCGCTTCGGTGCGGAGTTGCAGCAAGAGGGTTTCACCGCACTGAATTTTGTACTGGATTCGCTGAGACACAGCGAGTACGCGATGACGCGCATTCGCTACATGCGTTTCGTCGAGGGCATGGCCTATCTGAACGGGTTCTACCTAATTTCGATAGCTCGACGTACTCCGCGAGGTCTCAAATTTCCCACCTATGAGGATCGCTTCGGTCATTTGAACGAACTGGTGCGCCGTTATCTGCGCGACAAGATATTTCGCGGTAAACCGCTGCCGCGACAATTGCGCGTATTTTTCAATCTATCCATTTTGCAATCCTGCGCCGAATTCAACGCGCTGCGTGCTCTGCCGAGCGACATCATGGAGACTATGCGCCACGACGACATGGCGAAGAACGAAATGTACGGTGGTGCGACCGGACTGAGCTCGAGTCAATCGCATCACGGAAAGTCGACCGGCAGAGGCGGACCGCCCAACACGGCCACCGATCCGGGTGGTGTTTCAGCGCTGGTGCAAATAGCCCATGTAAAGTACGATTCTGAGAAATCGTACATTCTGGCTCGCGGGTACATAGTCGCTACATTTTCCTCGGGATGTGATGTCTAGGGAAGAGTTACAATAAAGAAATGCCTATACTGTAATTGTTTCGCTCTTTATTCGCAACCCATCCTATCCCCTTTGCGCGCCGATGACGCGCAATCAGTATCGACGTACAATCTTGTCGCATTCGTTGCAAGTGACGAAACGCGTGGCCACCTCGTCGTTTGCGCGCAATTGTCTCGTCTCGGTGCGAAACAATCCAGTGGCGTGTTTACATTCAAGCTCTCTGATAAAATTCAAAAAATGCTGATAATCGTCAAACAATGCGCGCAACGCGATCTGCATAGTGTCCTCATCGATCGACTCGTCCTCGCGATTTGATCGTGGCGATACCACCGCAGCCAGTCTCGGTGAGTACAATACGTGACTCTCGAGAGCGAAGAATCGACCGCACAGCGATTCGACACGAGGATCGCTGTTCATCGCGCTCCGACCGGCGTTCTCATTCGTGCTCGTTGGACGTTTCTCTTTGTTTCTCTTTGTTCATTGTAAAAACGCAAATCAGTTACGGACGTGCGCGTAAACGGCCGCAAGTTGGACGATCGTCGGTGAAACGTCGCGGATGTCACGACAGCGCGCGCTCACCATACGGAGCAACAAATTGGCACAGTCATCGACGGATCGATATCGTACCAGAGTCGACGCAGCAGCGCGTCGCCGTGATAGTCGCGCAACGCGTCGAGTGTCAACGAGACCGAATCGATCCTCTTGTTGATTGCGCTCGCGTCGATGGATGTCACTGCCAAGCAGTCGGTCAAAGGAACGTCGTCGGATGTCGCGAGTTCTTCGTCACCGCGACTCGTTGTAGCTGCTGCTGCTCGTGCGATGACGTTCGCCAAAGGCCGGCACACCGTCAGGCGAAAAGCTTGCGCCGATGAACCGTCGCCTCGTTGCAACAGCGATACCGCCGCAAAGTCTCGATAATCCAGGCACAAATGCGCCAAAGTCCACCTGGACAGTCCACCGCCGTTGCTTCTAGCACCGACGATTCTCGATGAATTCTCGTGCACTATGTTGTGGCAGTGCAGCAGCAACAGATCGATGGGCAATCGGCGCAATCTCACGTACGACAGCGATCCGATCTCGCGAAAGTATCGATCGCTGTGGTTCTCGCGCCAGTGCACCGAGCATTCGGCGCACCATACGTAAAACGATATATTCTCGAGCACCGCGAGCGTACGATCGGTGTATCGATTTTGTCGTTGAACGGTCAGCGCTGTCAACGTGTGCAACACGATCCACAGCGCCTGAGACGTGCCGCTTTGCCAGACGCCGCGCACCGGTAGCACGAGCCAGCGAATTCTCTCGTCGTCCGCGCTCTCGACGGTAACGTCGCAATTGTTCTGCGCGCAATGTTGAGCGTTCCACGCCTGAATCATACCGCTCAGCGATTCGTAGCGGTACACTATAGGCACGTACGCGTCGTACGCCTCGAGATACGAGAACGACGGCCGATCGTTATTCTCCGCTAGATCGCTCTAGATGGTCTCGAGCAATGTCTTGCGAACGAGCGTCTCCGCGACATGACGTTTGTCGCCTTGTTCGATTAGCTCGGCGAGTGTTCTGTCCAACGCGCCGATGTTTATCCGCCGTGTGCTCGCGGTGCATCGAACGTTCAACGGGATCGGCACACCGGTCTCGGCCGCGCGTTCGTTCAACGCGACCAATACCGCTCGAATGGTCTCGACGTTGGAGCGCAACGATTCGACGGACATTGATTCCACCACGGACGACGGATCGTCGTTCGTGGCGGCGGTGGATCGAGCAATGGGCGATAATAATGCGCGATGGCGCCGCATTAACGGTACGAACACATTATCAAAACGATCGGCGTACACGTTGTTCGCGTGCAAGAAATCGCGCGCATCGAACGCTCGACGATCGCGCAACTCTGACAGAGTGAACGTGTCGGTGGCGTGAATATTGTCGTCCAGTAGATCGAACAGTTCACGCGCCGCCTCGAAGGACATTGGCACGAGATCGTCGCCCGCGACATTTCGCGCGTCGTACGTGCGCATGAAGCTCAGCGAAAATGCCAACGACAGCACGGCCGAGTGTGGTTTCGCCGCTAAGAATGAGAAAAGTGCGTCCATTCATCGCAAACTAACATTCGTGCGCGGTCGCAATGATCGTGATTGCGGAAACGGCTGATACGCACGCGATAAAGTCATCTTGTCGAGCGGCGGAAAAAAACCGATAAGATTGTCCAAAGCGAACGATACAAAACAACGATATCGCTTCTTTATCTTCTTTTCGCTCGGCGCGAAAGCCGATACGATCGGTCTGCCTGAGCTATTTAACTTGCGCGATAGTGACAGATTTCCAGCATTATCGACCGATCGAACGAACGAGCACGAGGTAACACCATGAACGAACAACAATGGCCGATCGAACGACCTTTGTATACGGTGAGCGATTGGTTTTCTTTCACGATCAGAGATGAAACAATTTTCACTTTTTTTACGAATTCACTTTTTTTCGCCCGCAGATCGACGAAACACCGGTATTTGTAGATATGCAAGGTTACACTCTCGATGTGCAAGGAACCTTCATAGTGAAGGAGGCCACCGTGTTACGAGCGAATCATCCCGTGTCGCATTTTCTGTTCGCTAGTTCAATACCATGGAGCATGATATCGTCGGTCAACAGAACGAGAATTCGCTGGATCAGTGAGCGTTGTCACAGGCTACGATGGACCGACGGAAACATACCGTACGATCAGACGCAACGATTGATCAGTGACGCTATCTTGCAGCAATCAGTGTCCGCTAGAACAACAGTTTGCGTGTTGAATCGCAACAAAGCGCGATGGCTATATCGTCTTTTGAGCGAGGATGTTCGTACGTTGGTTCTGATTTTGGATATGGAATTCGAATGCCGAGCCACCCGACATATGTTTCGATCGATTCGCAACAGACCACTGAGATGCTCGCTTCGACACAGCAAACACTGTTCGATGCAAACCACATTGGCTCTGAACACTTGGTGGAACAGCTCTTAATTGTCAATAAAGAATCTACTATCTTATTATTGAGTATTGTCATTTCTCTGTTTCAATTCCCACCGAAGTATTCGCAAAAAAGAGATGAGCATCGTTGCGCCCGCGCTGCTGTCACTTTGTACAAAAAATCGATAAACGTATCAAAGTACCAGAGCATCGCAGTAGAAAAAAGTATGACTTTAGCAATTCAGCGCGCTCGGCTTGGAGACGCGAGTACACGATTGTACAAATGTACAGATGTACAAATGTACAAATGAGCATACGTACAAATGAACAGTTATACAATAGCAACGTTCCCCTGTACGTAGTACGGAGCAGTAGCGTTCCCTGTTCTATTATATCTCTGACTGTTCCGTACTACGTACTGTACAATAGTACCGGCCGCGCGACGGAACGACTCGTTATGTACATTTTACCCCCTCCATGCTAGACCTTTTCGTACGAAAGGTAGGGATGTTAAGACGTTTATTGGTCGATCTGTTTTCTCGTCGAGCAGTCAGAGATACAATAGGACAGGGAACGCTACTGCTCCGTACTCCGTACAGGGGAACGTTACTACTGTACATTTGTACATTTGTGCAATTGCTCATTTGTACAACTGCGCGCTCGCGTCTCGGGAATTGAGCGTCTCCGAACGTCGAATTCACCGACTGCTCAGGTTATAAGGTAAAAGAATAGGTCGTTGGTGTTTCAATCTACAAGTTGCACAGTATTCGATAAACGATGAATACCGGTTGGCATTATGTTACTTTTGTCGCGATTGTCATTATTTTGTGTTTTATAATTGTACATTATACAATGTTCAGTAGGTCGGCCCAGCGGGAGAGAGATGCTCGTGCCA